GCAATAGCATTGCTTTTCGGAGCACCGATCTGATGGAAGCAGCCCTTCGGTGGGCGGGCGAAACCAGCAACGCCCGCACTAATGTTAAATGGAATGGGAAGGCCAACGTCAACTCACAGCGACAGAAACAACAGAAACATTGCGACACCCCATCCACTAACAGCGACGGGGGTGTTCTTGCGCCTGTAACGTCGCGCTCGCGCTCGCGCGCTCTCTTTCSGACACCAGCACTGAGGACGTACCACTCGTTTGTGGCATTGGACAACCGGTACGAAAACGAACCGTTGCTCCTAGACGGACTGGCTCGCAGGACGGCCAAGAAAATCCAACACATGATCCAGCAGCGTGAAAACCAGCGCGAGAACCACCAGATCGTCGAGAGCCACGACAAAGTCAACGACAAAAACAACGACAAGGCACCCGGCCCCTCGGGAACAAAACACAAAAACCAAATCAAAATACAAAACTCTCCGCAACACCTCAGGGAAAAGGTCGCCAACAGCATTGCCAAGAGCGAGCGGCGTGCGAGGGAACGGTCCCATCGCCAAAAGGTTAGAGAGGTCTGTTCCGGGTGCTCGAGGCCCTTCAACCTCTGCCTCTGCAGTGTCTTGGGCTACGGCGAAACAAACACGAACATCGACGCCACGCAACGAAACGGCACCAACGGCTCGGCGACGGCACAACTCCTCACTCAGACCCAGATCGTCGTGCTACAGCACCCCAACGAGTTCCGCAAGAAACATACTTCAACAGTTCCCCTCCTGAAACTGGTGCTTGGACAACAAAACGTCCGCGTCAAGGTCGGTTACGAGTTTTCGAAAGCGGACGTGATGGCAATGGCGATGGCGATGACAGTGACGGACGAAACAAGGACGAGCGAACGCACATGCACGAACCACGACATCAGTGACAATGTCAATAACAGCGACAGCGACGACGTTTTCGAGCGGCCCATCGTGCTATTCCCGGGCCCGGATGCCTTAGATCTGGACCGCTATGTATTGCTTCGCAGCGAGCTCCACACCACCACGCCACGAAACAATACCAGCGGTTGCAAGAAGGAAGAGCCAACATCCAAGGACAGCATGCCTTCCCCAGGTCAACAAAGTACCGAAGCAGCGGCTGCCAATATTCGAAACAACGATACAAAAGACAACAGCAGAAGCAAGAGTATAAAGAGGAGCAAGAAGAAGACTACTCTCGTTCTGATCGATGGAACCTGGTCGGAAGCCAAACGAATGATACGGAAATCCCCGGAGGTCCTGGAGGCCTGTCAGATGGTCAAGTTTGCCTTTGATGATGATGCAGACGCCGATGCCGATGAAACCCTCCAGAGGGGTGGAAGCCGATCGMTCTACAATGCCATGCGCAGGGAACCCGAGGACCACTGTCTGTCGACGCTTGAGGCCTGCGGCATCGCCATTTCTTCCTTGGAGGGGCCCGACCGCGGGCCGAGGATCAGGGCCCACCTCCTGCAGGTCCTCTCGAAACACGTGCAACTTCATCTTGCCAACGCAAGGGAAAATTCGTTCTCTGTGCGGTCCAATCGGGACACCTACGACCGCAAAGCCGAACGGAAAAAGCGGGCCCTCGAAATCGAGCGAGTGGTCTTCGATCGAAGAGGTATACAGGACGATGGTGGTAGCAACAAAAGGGACAACAACAAAAGCAAAATTATCCCCAGCCGCAAGAATACATCCGCCCTGAACGGACGCCGGGTTCGCCTTGACAGTACCGAGGCTTCCAGATTGGCCATCGCCGATGCTCCCACACGGGAACTGCAACTCGAACCAAGCAACACCACCGGCGGAACGGTCCGCACGGTCACCATTCGGAGGCTGACCCACGAGGACATTCCCTTGATCGATGAATGGTGGGAGCACTCGACGACGGATTCCGGAAGCCGCGACGAGAAAAATCGCAAGGCCATTCTCGCACACTCGCAATCGAAATCGATCACCACCATATCCCGGGCCATTGATTTCGACCACAACGGGGCGTGCCTTGGAATCGTTGAGACCATGGTGGGGACTACCGAATCGGATGGAACAAACGATGGCGGCGGCGGCGAGCTGGTGGCCTGCATTCTCCGCTACGAGAGTGGTCCCCTCGGGATCCTACACGTCCGAGAAGACCACCGGGGAAAAGGGTATGGGACAGCACTAGTTAGGGAAGCGACGCGAATCGTTGTCGCTGAACAACAGGAACTGGAACGAAACGGCCAGAAGGAGGAACGCAAGGTATGCTGCACCGCCTTCATCAAGGATGGAAACACCCCGTCCGAGCGGGCTTTTGAGAAAGCAGGTTGGGAAAGGGAAAACCCCAACACAAAAAAACGCACCGGGAAGAGACGCTCCAATAGGAAATGGATCTACACAGTTCCGATCGAGGCGGAAGCAGAAACGAACTAACCTTTACGTTAGGTAGAATCGAATCGAATGAATATGAGTTGAATAAAACCGATAGAACAAGATATCAATTTCGTACCATACTTAAGTTCATTGTGAGAAAGGGTTGAACAACAACGATTCCAAACGATTCATGTGGGTTAAGAAATAATTGCGGCTCGGTACCTTTATGATTCTTCGTTGTTGTGCCGGGGTATCTCATGTGTTTGTTCTGTCGTTTGTCAGGTCCGCGTTTGTATTGTTGCGTTTGCGACRCACGGTGCTCAGAATATAAACGAGGCAGGAAAGGTGGTGAATGAACGAGAGGATTTCCATCCACCACCATTTTAGCAGATGGTTGCACATTGATTTAGTGGAGAACGGATCTTGTACTGTTTGCACACAATCGCATCGTTCTTGACAGAATAAAGTCATTCAATCATCAAATTACGAGGGGATTGATCATCAGTACGCACGGCATACGGCTGCGATTGCGAAAGCAAATGCACTAGAAGCTCGCAACGTGATGCTCGCAAAGAAAGGGGGGAAACGATCGCTTTTAGCGAGATGGCAGCAATCGCAATTTTCTAATCGTGGATAATACAGTGCGCTAAAGGATTTGTTACATCGATATAATTCCCGCAGGACTTCTGACAATATTCCGCCCCTAAAGCATTTCATCGTGTGATGCTGCATTGGCACAGGCAAAGACTCGGCCCTTTGAATTTTCGTCCTTTTGCTGAGCACTACTGTTCTAGTGGGTTGAGTCCGCCAGCCCTTTGCATCACTGATACGTTAGCGATATCGTCGTAAAAACTGAGGTCGGCCTCGACAACTTCATCGGCTCCGAACCAAGAAGCAAGAGCAACTGCTTAGGCATAGCAATTGCACCCATAAAGTCTTCACAAAAGATACATCCGTTAGTGTCCAGATCTTGATCGTTTCCTCACTGGGGCGGAACATCGGACAAATTAGTTGCTGTCTGCAGGATTTCATCTCGCTCAAATGAGCCGATACCTGTTCTCCAATTAGAAGTTTCAGGTTGCCCACAGATCCCATTCATCGTTCTTCCAAAATACAATGGTCGAGAACACAGATCACAGGTATCACGCCAGTATACCCCATGTTGCTTTTCAATTAATGAAGGATTTGGTTCCATCGATTGGATCAAAGCCCCGGTAAAAATCGACACTAGTTCGCACTTGACTTAATTCTTATCCATAAATTCCATGGGGTTGGGGTTTTGTTCGATGAATGTTCTCGCTGCCTTCTTGGCAGATKGGTCGGCTATTGTGACAGGGGGAGCTCTTTGTGTTTGAGATAGCGACCGGCCTTCCTAAAATTTTGAATCAGCTTTGATCCTCTTCTGACGCCAAAAGCGAAACGAGTTATTTCACGTGGCATGATTTGAACTCTGGACGACTCCCGCTGTTATCTGGATTTACTTTTGAGCTCAGTACAGCAGAACTCGACATCCACAAAGAGGATGGGTGCTGAAAAGGTGCGACAGCAATTATGAAACGGTTTCTTCACAGCCAGATTGCACGAAGCAAGAAATTTCCAAACCGACGAATAAGTATATCTTCATCGCGCGTGTAAAAGAGGCAAAAAGATTGTGTTTGGCTTCCATGGACTGCTCAAAATCCAAAATCCGTTTTGGTTCAGGATGCTTTTGATATCTTTGGATTTTGATAGTATCTTCCGAAAATTTTTGAACAAATACCGGTACGGTTTGTGTACGGTTGTGAGCCTAAATCACGAGTAGATAGTGAATAAGCTCTCTCTTTATTGTAAACCACATATTCACGTACAGTACGGTACACAAAGGAGCCTATCAACATTTTACAGGTTATGAGCAACAACAGACTTACGTCTGCTCGTCATCAGGTTATGCAACGATTGTGAGCCTAAATCACGAGTAGATAGTGAATAAGCTCACTCTTCATTGTAAACACGTAATTATGACACTAAAGAGCACTCGTACATTTTGCAGGTTATTGCAGGGCCCTCCGGTACCCACGCGCACATCCCCCTTTTCGAATTCCTCCCCTAGAAAAACGTGGGTTATTTTTGGTGAAAAATAACCCACRTTTCTAAAACGTGGGTTTTTTAATTTGAAAAATAACCCACGAAAGAACCCACGAATAACCCACGAATTTACAGTCATCTGGGTTGATGGAGAACCAAGGGTGTTAAGTATTTTAGTCATTAACGTTATTTAATCACTGTTTTTAATATTTGGATAAAGGCCCAGCAGGTTTGTGGGTTTTTCGTGGGTTATTTCGTGGGTTATTCGTGGGTTATTTGTGGGTTAACCCAACCCAGGTTTTAAAACGTGGATAAATTGTTTGGGAAAAAAAACCCACGTTTTAGAAACGTGGGTTATTTTTTGTGAAAAAAAACCCACGAAATCATACCCCCGATATTAGATTTCAAAGGGGGGACGCGCGCGCGTTGGTTCCGGAGGGCCCACAGTATGATAATAGAGATTTTTACTACGATGAGATTATATTACCAAGGAAGAAGGAAAAACACGCATCTATTTTCTTCCTATCTGACGCAAGACCTGCTCTCTTTAATCGCGATCGGAGACCTCTACCGAATCCGTGGACTCACGATCCACAGGAAGCAGAGTGCCATATCTTCCAGAACTCGAGCCCAGGTCGGAACCACAGTTACCAGCATCAATTCGCCGAGATATTGTGGAACCCTTTCGGAACGAATTGCGGTCCCGTACGGAATATTCCCGGGTAGCAAGCAAATATTGAACCACGCTTCGCCGATACTTTTGCATTACCAACACGAACTCTCAGTTTTGCTCTTAGTCGCACTCGCACTCGTATTCAAGGCAGGAACAGAGCCACTGCCATTTCCAACAGCAGAATGGAAAGGAGGAGACAAATCGTCACGAAAACATCGACACCACCAAAAAGAAGAAACAGAAAACGAAACAAAACCAATCTCGTAGCTCTTTTACCTTTGGCACTGGAAACATTTTTGTGTCCATTCCAATTTCTTTTCATCGAAAGCAGAACGGCCACCGCCTTTGTCGTTCCTTTTCAAATTACCAACGGAAGCAGTCGCCAACGCAAACGTTCCTCCTTCGACTGTCTCTCCGAGAGGAATCCCCAATTGCGGCAACCACTCGCTCGGAAAAACAACATAATTTTCGGCAGGAGCAGAATGTCTTTGTCAACCCATACCGATGATGCGCTAGGCACCGAAGGATCCACGCAACGGTTCCACGGAATCGTCGAACGGGACAAAAAGAAAGTCCCCGTAGCCTCCGCCACAGACCTTGCCATCAAGATTTTGCTATTGGTCCCCGTTTGGATGGTGCTAGTCCTGCCACTGACGATTTTCTATCAGGTTGGAAAGTCTGTCTTGAATGGTATTGGGGACAAGCAGGAGCCGGAGCAAGCTGCTGCTGCTGCTGCTGCACAATCGATGAAAGCCACAACTGCGAGTGGCAACGAGCCCGAAGACACTTCACAGTCCCTCCCCACAGATTTCGTTCCCCGGCCAGACCGCTCGTACGACGTGGTGGTTTTAGGGGCAACGGGCTTCACGGGGGGGCTCGCCGTTCGACATCTCGCAGACACCTATGGGGTCGGTAAGACCGTGAAGTGGGCTGTTGCCGGTCGATCTGCCTCGAAACTCGACGCAGTCCTCGAAAGTCTCGCTGACGATCCAGCCGTTAAAAACTTCGATGCGTCCGATGCCGAGAGAGTCGACCGCATCGTCTGTGACACCTCAGATCTAGCAAGTCTCTCGGCGATGGTGAGGAACACCCGGTCGGTGGCCACAACGGCGGGGSCCTTTTCGCTCTACGKGGGGCCACTCGTCGAACGTTGCGCCAGATACGGAACACACTACGCGGATATTACCGGGGAAACGTCCTTTGTCAAGAAAATGAAAGCGGAGCACCAGGACATGGCAATAGCGACCGGAGCCCGAATCCTCTCGCTCTGTGGCAACGACTGCGTCCCGTGGGATCTATCCTACAACATTCTGGCAGACGAGTTTGCTGAGCGCTGCACCAATAACAATCGAAATCCCAACGTTAACGACAATGAAACCATGGTGCGCATCGAATTTGGGAACGAATTTTCCTCGAGTGCCAGCGGCGGAACCCTCAAAACAATGTGCCTCGGGATCTCTGGGAAACTCGCCGATCCCTCCGAGCTAGATCCAGCTGCTTCTACCCTCCTGCGGAGGTCCTTTGGAAGCAGCACGGAGCATACCTCGCCCATGGAAAACAATATTTCTTTCGGGATCAAGACCGGTGTGTCGAAGCCCTGGGAGATGGTCGTGGCGGCAGAGGACGACAGAAGGGGTGGCGTCACTGCAGCTGCTACAGATGGTACAGATGGTAAAGGGAGCAAACTGGTCGAGGCCCCCTTTGTCATGTCGGGAGTTAATTACGAGTCCGTAGGGTGGTCCCATGCGCTCCGCCGTGACAAAAAATGCTCCTACAAGGAACAGCTCCTCCTTCCCGATTTCATCACTGCCCTCGACGGAGTTCTGGGTCTGCTCCTCTTTTTCACCTCCCTCATGAACCCCATCACGGGCCGGCTGCTAGAGGACTACCTCGTCACCCAGCCAGGAGATGGCCCTGCCATGGAGCAGATGAACAACGACTTCTTTCTGGCGCTGACGGGAACCGCTTACGGTAGCAAAGGTAGCGTTTATCAGTCCCTTCTGTACTATGACAAGGACCCCGGCTACCTAGAAACTGCTCGGATGGTGGTGGAGTGCGCTCTATGCCTGGCACTCGAGGAAGAAGCTGTCTCGGAGAACATTGCGGGCGCCACCCTACTAGCAAAAAATGTCGATGCGAAACCACTGCCAGAGGTGGTAGGGGGCTTTTTCACCCCGGGGTTCGCTCTGAGAAAAATTCTGCTGAGGCGGCTGGTCGATACCGGGTGCCACTATGAATTTCGGGTCCTGAACGACGCCTCAAAGTAACGCAACACTAACAGCGAATGCACCCAATTGAGTTGGCTTGAAGAATTCTATGCAATATCAAATCTAACACGTCGGCATTACCATACGGTAATAAATCTATAAGAAGGATGACGGGATGGCTAGGTGAAAAACAGGAGTATACATTCTCTGTACCTTTCTGTTCGAAATTAGTAATTGTTTGCAGCTACTACTAGCGGCACAGTATTTGGATCTATTACTTAGATCGATGTTGTCAGAACTTCTTAGTAGCGTCATCTATACTATTAGGAGCTTTTAGATTTGAGCCAGTTTTCGTAACGCACAATCCTGCAATCTGCTCGGTGGCTTCGGTCCTCAATCTTGAGGGGTTGCTCAGGTATACCAAATATCTTGTCCCCATCGATCGCGCCCGTACACTCAAGGTTGTACACTAAAATCATGTTGAAGTTCCCCTAGCGCTTTGAGCAGTCCTCTCTTGCCTTTGAGTTCCCCCTCAACCTTATGGGTCCTGGTTTTGTCAATCGAGCACTTCTGGAAGAGACGGACGACATCAGCTGTGGTGTCTTTCCATTCGGACAGCAGCTCACTGTTTTCGGGTACTGTCGATCCTCCTTTTGATCTTCCGTGTCCCTTTCGATGCACTTGTTCCATTCGGTACCGGGCAGCTCTCTGGCCTCTGCGGCTGACTTCACAAATCCTTCCTCCTGCTCTAGAGAATGCTTCCTGAGGAGCCCATCCCTTATCTTCTGGATCTCATCCTAGCGATCGGCGGAATCATTTTCCACTTATCGAGCCCGGATCTCGATCTTTCCCCTATTGTGGATATGGTGCTCCGTTTGGAGCATAGTTTCCAGCTCCAAGATCTTGTGGCGGCGGCCAGTGGCACTCTGTTCCAGAAAGTCCTCGCGTTTGCCGACACGGGTCTGAAGGGCATCCTTTTTGGCCCTCACGTCAGATGATTCTACTAGTTGGTAGATTTGGCACTTAGTTCCGACTTCTTAGTGTGCTTCTCGATTTTGGTCTGCTCTGGTAGGCCCGTGAGCTTACTAACCAGGCTCTGGAGGTCGGTTTTCTGGGCTTGTAGTTTTGGTGTGTTATGCGCTGGCTTTCGAAAGTCTGCTCTAGCTCCGATAGTTTAGCGCGGTGAGTATCAATCACTTTCTTGAGTACTACCTTCGCTCTGGCCTGCTTTCCCGGTATTCCCGGTAGTAAGGTTTGAAGCGGGATTTCGAGTACTCTACATAGACTACAACGAGCTCGCGGCAAAACTCGAGGGCCGCGATGGGCTCGCAAAAGTCTTTCGAGTCTCCACCAACGACGCAAGGCAAACTCTGAACCCCTTCCACGTCTATGGCCTTGAGCAATATTGCCGTTTAGCGTTGACTGAATACTGTTGTTGCTGAAGCTTTTCCTATCATTTGCGGTGCTGCTCGATTGCTGGCAACTCGGGTATATTGCCCGTACTGCTATTGTTGGTTTTCCGGCGAGGGGAAAGGGGTGGGGTTGGCCCTCTACTCGTTTTGGGATGTGATATCTTCTTGAAAGAAGTGATAGTCCTCGCTGGAAAGTCCCCTAATAGACTTGTTTACGTTTGCAGTTGCATAGAAATGGAAACAATCGAGAAATAAGAGCAACGATCTGCATTTCTCTCTTGAAAAATCTTCTGTCGCGATTTGACTAGTAGTGTATCAGGAGTCTTGCGGTGGGCGAACCTCATCGGGAGGAGAAGAGACTCTATGACCTTTTGGTAGATTCAATTCGATTCATTAAAGTATGTAGCTTTACTTTTGGCTCTGTTCAAAATGCCAACAAGGAGTTCGTATTGTCCTTATGATAAGTTTTGTGAAATCTTTTTGCCCCCTACTAGTGGTTGCTTATCTTGTTGCCACTATAATTCATTTTTCTGTTCACACCGCTGAACCAATCTACTTAACCAAATACGTTCTTGATCAAACTCTGCCCCATACATTTATTTCTTCTTGATGCATACACATAGCCCTTGCCGTAGAGGGAGGTCTTGGCAAAGGAATCCGTCGGGTACTTTTGTTTGAAGACGTCCCAGTGTTCCGAGTCGCGGCCTTTCTTAGGTATTGGAAAACACTTCATCAATCCGATGCCTCTGTTGCTTCTGCTTCTGCTTCCACCCATGATCATGATCCCGTCGTATTCAGTTGGGTGGTGGGTGTGATGTGGATAAAAATAAACTATCGCAATGCAATAATAGTTGATGATTCCGTTTCATTCGAATGCTACTCCTTCGTGGCTGTGGTTGGTGAATAGATATTGCATTCTTGTCCATTGTCATGAAAATTCGAAACAACATTCATGCCAAGTCAATAAACGTGGATTGAAGTGGTCACTAGTTCATACTAAAACATACCACTTCAACTTCAGAAAGAGCACGAGTAACGAGTACGAACCATTTGAAAATATTTACCACCGTACGTAAGRCGCCGATAAACTTCTGATTGTTTAGCGACTCTTCATTCATACACGTTCCTCAACATGGTCTAAAGCCCGTGCTTGGTCCATCGCCGCTAGCAGAAGCTGAAATTGTCATCTCATTTTTTCATCGGTCAAAATCCTCTAGAAGACCATTCATTGATGTTCAAGTGTTTACTGTCAACATTCCAACTTCGTCGTGCGAAATGTGAAATGTTTCAACCTGCATCTGTTACGCCCATCCAAAGAATGTCAAGTAGGATATGTGCGAACTTCTATCTACTCAGGTTCAAGACAAGTCCCTGAGTATGATACGACGTAATCGTACGGTACCTGTACTTTTATTAATCCAATTTTTGCTCGGTCCAGCACGTGTCTTTAGATAAAATCCTCGGCGCGCGCGAATCGGATTTTCTTTTAGATGGGGACAGCACGTGCCACCAAAATCAGAGGACGGGGTGTTACTTTTCAGTACAGTAAATGTGTGTCGGAAGGAGAAGTTCCGAATAGAAGGTCCTCCTACGCACCGCATGTTAAGAATCCAGCGTGTTTTAGTCTTCCAGTGCTGGGTTCGCAAAAATATCTTCATAGAAATAGATCTAGAAGTACTCAGGCGGAAAGCAGTTTTCTGCTCTACGAATGGGGAAAGAACCAGTAAATCAGTCTTCTCAGTGAAAATATCAAATGATGGTTGATGAGAGGATGTGAGCCTTTTTGTTGCTCACAACCGGGGAAATGCTGCTAGACTCTCTCATGTACGGTATCACATGTTTTACAATAAAGAATGAGGATTATTTACCAGTAGTAGCTACTCTGATTACGGTACGGGCATTACCTCACACTACAAAAAACAATTTTAACATGAATTTCGTGCTCGAATTCTCTCAGGTTTCGTCTGAATCCTTGCTCTCGTTAGATTCTTAGTTTCTGCTGGACATATGTGCCACTTTCTTTGCAATGACCAACGCACTTGTTCAGATGAGGGTCCGTTTGATGAAGCCGAGTTCACACTAATAATTAGGCCGCTTCCTCTACTCCTCCGTTGTCGGCGCTTTCTTCTTTACTATCGCCGCCCTTCGCACCGCAGCATCCACCCTTGAGTCCTAGTTTTTCGCGTTGTTCGGCACTCAGAAGGAGCATCGGAAAGATGCGAACTGCAGGAGAATCGTCGTACGCCAGATCCACTCCAAGAAGAGGGACGCTCGCCACGGCAATGGTGAGACCGAGCATGGCGGCCCCCATGACCCCGGTGTAAAAGCCACAAAAAAGGCCCCATCCTGTGACCGGAAATTTATCGGGTTGGAGTACCGTGAGTCCGGAGGTAATAACACCGAGGGCCGTGACAAAGCCGTCGAGAAACGGCCAGCCCTCCGCGAGGGACATGAAGCCACCCCAATATGCGGCCCAAATGATCGACAAGACAACAATGATTATGTAGAAGACAATCATTTTGAGAAAGAGACCCGACTTGGTGCGCGGAATCAATAGGGTTCCCTCGGGATCGATTTTCTTCATCAGCATGCCACCTTTGATGTCGAGCAAACCCTCGATCATCGGACCGGCGGAAACTCCGATGAAACAGGCTAGGATCACCTGGTGGGCAACCGCCAGGAGATTAACAATGGCGAAGCTTCCCGTGCCATCAGTGGGCGGAGCCCAATCCGTGAGGGGAATGACAGATCCCGTAAAGAGGGACATCTCAAAAAAAAAGGCATTCAAGTATGCCGTCTTGTCGGCGAGAGCGATCGGCCAAGCCCAAAACAATGAAAAAATGACACACGCCAATGGATAGTATAGCATCCAGAGAACAAACAACCGGTATGCTGAGGAAGAGTGGAATTTTTGTAGACAACTAGCCATGTTGAACAATATTTTGCCTTTCTGATTTTTGCAGATAGATTTTTTGTCTTTCGAGTAAAAATTTATTGTGACCCTCTGTGACAACCCTTCTTCGAAAAAAAGAACTACAAAAAAGTATCGCAGACAAAAATTAAGTAGGGTACCGTACGGTACTTGGATACTTGTATCCTTTACTACAGTACGAGTGCAGCAGTGGAGGCAACTCTTGCCAACTTTCATTCGTACGGTGCGGTAAGTGAAAGTACTAGTAGTTGTTATGATATTTTTACGAAGTGAAAGAAGAATTCTAAAATAAGATTGTCAGTGGGGCTATTGCGTACAGTGCCGCTAGAAGGGATCGCTCATACTGTACTGGACACCCCTACCGTATCGTATTTTACTTAATGATTACAAACTTGATGTTTTTATGGTGACTGTATGAAAGAAATGAATGTGATTTGTTGATTCTTTGATGTAGCAGCTGTTGTTTTCGGTTAAGTTTTCAGTAACGTAGTAACTGGTCGTGACGCTTAAAACTGCCATGGAACAAAATAATAATCATTAATTTGTATACTACCTGGTACGTATTTTCCGTACATTTGGAATGCTGGCGTTCTGGTCGATCATTTCTTAGTTGTAGACTTGCTSCCTCTTTTCTTCCACATGAAACGAGTACAGTACTACCGTATGCCAGTCAAACGATGATAGTCCAGTCATCCATCTGTTTTGAGTGTTCTACATCTGGCGTGACCGTTGCGGAATCGTTCATCGCGACCATGACTCGATAAGTACGGTAGATGAACCTGTTCYTGACAGAAGTACGAGTTATTCTTTTTGACAGGTGTTTTGTTTCGTTGAATCGGTTACCACSAGTGCGGGGAATTCATCAACAGAAACAATCATTCTGTAGAAAAAATTAGTAGTACCGAGTTCGTACGTACCGTACCTTACGAAAAAGAGTATGAACGTAAAAGTACTCCTCTACCATGCTTACAATTCGTTCTTGAGGCATGTAAAATGGTATCAAGTCCTTCAAAAAAAAATGTTTACTAGTATTTGTCACTTTGCAGACCTGAAATACTAGCAATCGTACTCGTATAACTCGTACTCGTACTCACACAATTTTTTTCAATCAATTCGTCGGTAAAATTGAGTTCGAATCTACGGGCTGTCGATTCCAGCGTATGAAAGTGAAAATGCTTCTCTTTCCCTCGATTTGATGGAGAAGATTAGCGCCACTTTTTTCGCTAGCGCAGTACTGTATTTCGTTGAGGTCCAATCGAATGAGTGATTGTCCTATCTCTTCCTTTGGAAGTCTTCAAATTTCTTACAAAACATTAATTCTGCTCTGTTGTAGTTGTTGAGGGGGAGTGTCAACGGATTCTAGGATCTAAGAGTTGGTATTCGGGAATAACTACGATCTAATTATCTGCATAACCTTACGGCACGATTAGTTCGGCGATACTCGACCGGGATGAGTGAATACTAGGAGACGCCGCGGCGCGCCCAACTCATATAAGAAGCGAGTTAGAAGGTGAATTCTAGCCAACGCATCACTTAGAGTTCTCCGACGATTGGGACGGATCCTCCGAGCTGCTCGTGGACCATGAGTCCAAGAACTCCCATCATGGCGGCACGTCCGTTGTTGAGCTCGATGGCACGCTTGGAAAGCTGGGTCTCTTCGTCAAAGGTATCCCATCCAAAGTCAAGGGATCCATTTCGGAAGTCACCAACGAACTCATTTCCGGTTCCCTCGATGTCCTTCATGACACCAAGTTCAAGGGCGGCAACAAAGGCGACAATCTGGGCAAGTCCAGCGGAAGGGATGGCGTCAGGTCCGGCAATGGCGGCCCATCCATTAGGGAAGGAGTCGAAGGAGTCACCGGACATGTCAATGTCTCCAGGAAGGTGGACTCCGTAACGGGTGGTGATCTGTCCAAGGAACGCAAGCATACAAATACGTCCATGCTTGATCTCGACGTATCGAAGACGGTCGAACTTCTCTTGGTCACCGTCTTCAACGAGTCCCAAAGGATCGAAGAATCCAAGAGGAGGCTGGGATCCAAGGGCGTCTTCGAAGGCCTTGATGGCGGTGGAAGTGGCGGCCTTGTTGGCAGGGGCAAAGGCAGCAGCCGAAGCGATGAGGGAGGCGAAGATGGCAGATTTCATTTTGATTTACTATTCGAAGATAATTGGAATTATGAGCACTCGAACGGCAACCTTTGTTTGCGAGCAAAAACATTGCATTGAGTTCCATCTCATGAAAAAGTTGAATTTTCTGGCTTCACCGAGATCCGAATGATTCAAGGTATCTTTTGGGATTCCAATCATTCCAATTGCTTCAATGTTCAAGCCATGGATACCAGTAACTGTGCGGTGTGTACGGTACTCGTACGTACTCGTACTCGAGTACGAGTATTGTGTCTTATTGTACTTCGTACTGTACTGTAGTACAAAGACTTTTTGATTCCTCTTCCTGGTGCTCACGTGGCATCTCGGACCAAACAAAATTGCGCGTGCGAGAGATTTTTTTATTGAGCAGTGGGACTGAATTGATCCATCGGAGTACAATACTCGTTGACGTACGGTTTCGTACTGCAAAGTTCCCTCATAGCACCATATGCTGAGTCGTTTTAGTAGAACAATACGACCAACACGACCCAATGTGCACGAAGCATCTTGTACTTTCACAAAAAAAGGAACCAGTGCACTTAGTACGTTGGTACCGTATGTAGGTGCCATTGCAGTCATATGTTACGACGGCCTGCATAAATTAAATGAGGAGAAACAAAACCTGCATACGGTATCGTACGGTAGTACAATAGGTTATCCAATGCCTCCCACGAGCTTGTCATTGACACGCGTGTGTCGTAAGATAAAAACCTTCCTTCGTTTCGCAACGAAGTCTCATCCTCTCGAGAACATCTAGAGAGGCCAATCACAAAATACCGGTATCATATGTATTCTACCGTAAAGCAGGTTTGGGGACTATTATAGTCCCCATTTTTTGGCAACTACCCGATTTTATAAATTATCATATTATGAAAACTTGGCACAGTTACAGAGGAGGTCCTGGAAAGGTCCGTCAACTCATCACTCCAACAAAGGCGACACAGTTATGAAAACTTTTGGCACAGGTAGAGAGGAGGTCCTGGAAAGGTCCATCAACTCATCACTTCCAACAAAGGCGCGACACGGATTCGCTGCTTAGTTGTGGGTGATAGGGTAGAAGAAGTGGTGGTCGCAAGAGTCCAAGCAGGAGTGGACCATGCAGCCGGTGACACCAAGCATGGCGGCACGTCCGTTCTGGATCTCAACATTGAGGGCACGGTCACGGGCCTCAGGGTCTTCGATCTGGCCAGGGTATCCTCCGGGGATGGTTCCGGCGGATCCGTCGTAACCTCCAGGAAGATCCTGGGGTCCTCCGGTGTACTGACCAGCAGGCATGGCGATAGTCTCGGCAATTCCTCCGAAAAGGACGATCTGGGCCAATCCAAATGGAGGGATGGCAGCAAGGGCAGGGAATCCCATACCGTTGTCCAAGATGGAGGAGAAAGGAACGTCTCCGTTAAGGTCCATGGATCCGGGGAAGGTGACGCCAAGTTCTTGGACCATCATGCCGATGAAGGCAGCCATGGCGATACGTCCGTGCTTGATTTCGACGGCACGACGACGGGCGAAGGAGTCGGTATCCTCAGCAAGTCCAAGAGGGTCGAACAAGTCAAGGGGACCAGGGTCGACACCAAGACCGTCAGGGGATCGGGCATCTCCCGCGATGGCGGTGGAGACACGAGATTGCTTAGCAGGAGCAAAGGCGGCGGCGGAGGCGGCAAGGGTGGTGAAAATGGCGAGCTTCATGTTGACTGTTTTGATTGTTTTAGATTTGAGAGTTGATCAAATTGATTTTGTGAGAGGATGGAGAGTGTTCCCCCCAGAACCCTTTCTATCGATTTTTTCTTGTTGCAAAAAAAAATTGAACTTGGAACTACTTCTGCAACTTCATGTTGCACCTCGTGGCACCGCAAAGATACCTTTTTGTTCCTCCTCGTGTTGACATTAAAGATACCTTTTCCCCTCGGTTCAAGGTTTGTTCGATTAAAAAATTCTTCGTAAAAAACAAAAATCTGCGCGGTGCGCGTCAAATCGGCAATACAAAATTTCGTGGACAGAAATTCAACGTGCGTGCCTACAGGTATACAGGTAGTAGTAAAGAGGCCTTYAAGTTCATGGCGAAAACAGATAATTTACGATAACAAAGGATGTTACAGTATTCACTACCGGGTTCTGCTTCTAGAGATTGAGCCTCCTCGATGGAAATCTATCAAAAATCAAAACTCATCATTATACACTATGTAGGGTACCATACTTGGGTACGTACTCGTACATAACATCAATTAAGATTGTTTCGAGAGTGATGAATGAAAAACAGTTCGTACGCCGGTGGTACTAAAAATATTCTTTTCCCGAGTGGGCAGTGAGAATTCCGCACCCACAAAGACTCGATTCCTCCCTTTGTTGGCTTTCTTTTTATGCCTATCTCTGTTCAGTGTCGGTTGGTGACCAAGATAGAGTGTTAGAGGGAGTTGAACCTTGCTTAATTCTTTGTGTAAAATTAATTAATACGGTGAGCGGATAACAACAATGTTTGTCTCGTAGAGTTACGTTCACTAGTATGTTACTGGTACTAGTCGTAGACCTAGCAGTCTTTAGCGTGTTCTAGTTGTCACTTGCTGAACCAAAATTCTATACTAGGTGCTTTCACCAACCGCAGTATTGGTAAAACTAGGAGGTCTCGTTTACTGTGTAATTGAGGTCACACTATGGGCGTTGCACCTGAGAACTAGTGGTGAGAAATAAAGACAAGATATCAAATGCAATCCTCATCATTTGATTGTTTCAGAGGGCGTCGTTTTGTATTACTTATTGTGTGGGTCCTTGTACAAACTCCCAAACCGCTGCTCGTCGTCCCGAATAAGCTTCTGAACGAGGGCGTGCCGTTCTAAAACGTAGGTTCGGTTCTGAAAAAAAATGGGCCGGTTGCCTCCAAGCGAAAACATGTGGTTGGCGTTGGTTCTGATGGCACTGTCGTTGCTCCCCACTTCCCTTCGCTTCTGGCTCTCCTCCAGCGAGAGCAATCGATTGCTCGTGTAGTACGGGTAGCCGTCGTCGGGGAGTTTCCCGATTTCCRGCGCCGGGTTGTTCCCAAGGCCTCGCGTGCACCGTACCAGCATGTCAAGGTCTCCCTGGATGTTGGAGAGTGTCTTCTTGCCCGCATCTGGATTAGCATGTCCATAGGTTGCGTACTTGTGGCGTAGCACGGTCAAATCCTTGAACCAGTTATGAAGGTGATAGGCTGTTCCGTAAACGGCCGTGTCTCCCATCCCCTCCCGGAAGGGGCGGTCAAAATTGACCAGGTTGTCCTCGTTGCCGTTGATCTCGCGGATGTCTCGGCCGTCCCACAGCGGGAACCGGTCGTTGGACAAAACGTCTTCTGGGTACTTCTTGTAGTCATTAGACCCCCATCCCTTGCGGTTCCCAGCAGGGATCCTGCGATCCCCCCCCACGGTCGTGTCCCGCTCTGGCGTGGCTCGGCCCTGCGGATCGCCAACGCCCAGGATGCAGTGCCCAGCAATTAGGTCGGGGTGGAACCACTCCCACTCCTTGACACAAAGCGGCGTGCTCTCGAACTGCATCGTCGACAGGGCCATCTTCGGGGTCTGGCAGCTGGGCCGGTGATCGGCGTCGTAGCGAAGCTTGGGGAAATCGCAGACCCGAAGGGCGTTCAGAAAATCTCGGCTCGTGACTTCGTCCAGATCGGCCATGATGCCGACGTCCCAGGGGGCCATGCCCTCCTTAAGCCAGATCTTCCAGATGGTGTTCCGCTGCTCTACCTCACGAGACATCATTTTGAGATCGGGCTCGTCCTCCAACCAGTAGTCGACTACCACCTTGGTAGTGTTGCGAAATCCAAAGAGCTCCGATTCCTGGAGGGTCCGAACGGAAATCGAGCCAGGTCCGAAGTTCATGGTGCGCGGGGTGGCAAAGTGCGTCGTGTTGGATTCCACCAGGGCCACCACATCATATTTGTTGTAGGCCTCTAGGGCGTGGGCCACGATCACCTCGGGGTTCTCGTTGGCCAGCATGCTCCCGAAAAATATGCGGCGCTGGCGGGACTTGCTGTCCCTCGGTAGCGGCGGCACCCCATACTGCTTGCAGCGAGTTTCCTCGTCCGCGGCGGAATCGATGCGGTCCTGCTCGGCCTTGAAGAGGGGATCAACAACAAACCTCGGGATTGGGGGGAGGTTCTTGGTGGCGGAACCATCGTTTTTGTAGATCGAACGGGCGTTGCCACGCACCGGCACATCGGGGTCGGCTCCGGCGCTGTTCCTCAAGGGGGACTGGGAAAGATCACCGTAATAGCCGCTGCTCACGCGGAGGTGCTGCTGGTAGGAGATCTGAACAAAACAAGCCACCGAGAGGCCCACAAAGGTCCACCGGAGAAATGCAACGCTCTTGCTGGCACTTGCGCTGCCATTGTTGTGCTGAATGTCGCCCCTGAAATTGCCACCGTGGTAGGGATTCTTCATCGTTGTCTTCGGTCGGTAAACGTATGTTGTATGTTCTTGGTTTTGTGCATGTGCATGTGCGTGTGCGTGTGCGTGTGCGTGTGCGTGTGCGTGTGCGTGTGCGTGTGCTTGAAACGCTTGTTGGTGAGTGACTTACTGCACAAGCAACGTCCTACTGTGCTTCGTATGTGCGTGTACTCGTACTTATCGGGCACCAGGTGACAGTAGTAGTCACTCGATTCGGTATTGCGATTCGGTGTTTCGCGATCGGATTGCTCGATATTGCTCGGCTGCTTTCCTCGGTAGGATCCTCTTATCTTGTGAGCTCTGATAACTTGCTGAAGAGGAGCGTCGATTGCTTCGGTGTTTCGATTGCTGCGAAGCTCCTCTCCTTGGTAGGAGCCTCTTGTCTTGTGAGCTAGAAGTACAAGTACAGTRCMGTACGTCCTAGGTTGGCAATGTAGGTGCTGAGGCTCTGTCGTGCTCACTAAATCCCTTGCTGATAGCAACGACTTACCGTATGCTCCTCAAAGGAATAGAGGAGTACTACCGGAACAGTAGTACGAGTGATAGTAGATGTRCTACGAGTACCTACTGAGGCGGATCAGTATGATGGTTTTATGATTAATGACTCAGCTGTGCAAGCTGCAGCAATCGTGCACAGTTTGGTTCCTATTGAGATTTAGAGTGGTGGTGGGAGCGAGGCAACCTCGTACTGACAGGTTTTGCTATATGTGGTTCGAAGTAGTGGTCTAAGTAAGTAACTTTTCAAATGTCATTGGCCCATCGCCGGACGTACAAGTAGCTGTAACCGTTGAGCAGCTCAACATTTCCATGTAACCACGCGCGCTTGGTTACTGCGCGGTTACAAAAAACTAAAACTAACAAAACACGGACACGATAAGGTACAAAATTCTGGTTACAATTTGGTTACACGCGCTGCGCGAGCTCCTCCACAGATATATAACATACCGTAGGACGGTACGACCGTTGGATGAAATATTTCCTCTGACTGGTAATTACTTCGTTCGTACGTACTACTACTACTA